TTCCCAAGCCACACAGCTCCACGAAAAGCAAAGAGCATCTGTCTTAATCCCATCCCTCCTATTCTCACGTTCCTCTCCAAATCAGGGAGACACCCAACAGGAGAACAAAAGGCCCCAACACTGAAGGATATAAACCAACAAGTCACACCAGGGAAACAAATGTTCAACAAGAGCATGGACACATGGGCTGGGGTGGCTCAGTGGACTGAGTGCCAGCCTGTGAACCAAAGGGCCGCAGGTTTGATTCCCAGTCACAGCACATGCCTGGGTTGTGGGCCAGGTCCCCAGTGGGAGGCACATGAGAGGCAACCACACATAGATGCTTCTCTCCCTCTCTTCCCCTCTCTCTAAAAATAAATCAATAAAATATTTTTAAAAAAAAAAAAAGAGCATGGACAGAAGCTGTCCCTGAAGGAAGGCAGTCACACAGCCACAAAGTGCCATTTTCCATTTTTCGAATGGAACCAACGTTAGCACCTAATGTTGGTGAAGTGTGAAGAAACTGGCAGCTGTCACACTAATAGTCACACATGAACTCAGAACACAAAATGGCTGCTCACAGAAAGCCCGTAAGGCCTACATTTTGGTCCACTACCCCAAAACCAGGAATTTACCCCAAAGAAGCAAGTAAGTAGAAAACAATAATGGGCAATATTCTTTAAATGCACTTACTACAAGCCCAGATCTTCTCATTTTTTCTTTACAATGAATAAAGAAACTTACTGCAAAAAATAGAAAAAATTAAAGAAAACCTAGCAGCCTCCCCCCGCAAAAAGTAATCTAAGTAAATGGTAATAAATCAAGTGATAGAATATTATACAGTCATTTAACAGGATGGCCACGTGATGAAGAAAAGGATGACTATAAAAAAATGTTAAGAAAGCAGAATACAAATAAGCACATTGATAATAGCTAATATTTATTGACTCTTGGCTCTGATCCAAATACTCTTCTAAGAACATTCCAGTTAATCTTCACAATGACCACCCTAAATGGGGACTCATCCTATCTTATGTTTAGACAAGGAAACCAGGCACTGAGAGGTTTAAGACCACCCAGCTGGAACTTGAACCCAGCCAGGCAGCCTGGTTCCAGAGTGTGCCCTCCTGACTACGAGACAGCACAGTGCCCCTCAAGCACCTGGCACGCTGCAAGTCCAAGCAGGTGCAACTCTGCCACCCAAAAACGGGAGTTGCAGATATGGAAAGTATCTGAGGCAGAATTATGGATGTTTTGGTGTGCTCGAACTGTCTTTATTACTTCACTAGGTAATTAAATTTTCATAATGGGCTTCCATGCTTTCTTAAGTACCAAAGGGCCTTGTAGAAAGAGACAGCAGTAATGTGGGTCTGGTCACACTATCTTCCCTTGGATGCTAAACAATGGTAAGGATATATACCCCAAAAGCCCAGGCCAAAACCCTTTGCCATTTCCAAGCCATTCCAGTGGGGAGGCTGCTTGGCAGAGGACTTGTCAGTTACCCCAAGCACCGAGGACTGAACAAACCAGCTCTAGCTGGAGGACAGTGTCCAGGCAGCCACCTGCACAGATTATTAAATGAGGCAGAGAAGCCACTTGGCAGGACATAAGGGAAACGTTCGCTGCTTCGGGTAGCGTAGAGTTGGGGTTCCTTTGCCAGGCTCTTCAGGGGTTTGTGAGAGTCGAGCATCTCTGGAGTGGACTCCTGTGTGTCACATGCAGGGATGTAATTCTTAATCTGTGTTTGGGTCACTCTGGGACACCGCTCCTGGGACATCCTGTGTTATGGACTGAATCATATCCCTCCAAAATTCGCATGTTGAAGTCCTAACCCCACTGTGACTGTATTTGGAGGTAGGGCTTTAGAGGTCATTAAGATTAAATGAGGTCATAGATCAGACCCTAATCCACAGGATTTATAAGAGGAAGAGACACCAGGGATGGGTGTGCACAAAGAAAAGGCCAGGGAGAGAGCTCTCACTTGAAACCAGCCCTGCCAGCACCTTGATCTTGGCCTTCTGGTTCCCAGAACCATGAGAAATTAATTCTGTTGTTTAAGCCTCCTAATCTGTGGGATTTTATTGTGGTAGCCCAAGCAAATTAATACACCCTATTTAGCCAGAGAAATGCAGGAGGTGGTGGAAGGAAGGGAATATACAAGTCAAAATGCCCCTCTACTCAAAGTTTCTAAGAATCCTGATTTCTCATCCAGAACACTCCCAGGATGGACGACAATGCTGTCCACTTTCAGCTCCTTGAAACTTACAACTACTTCAGAAAACAAAGCTCCCCATATACACAAAATTATCCCCACAAACCACACATTATACAAAATATCAAGGGTCAAAACATGGATGTAGTGACATACATCCTCAGAGATTCAATTGTAAACTCTAGATATGTCTCCTCTTACCAAAGATAAGAAATAAAACTGGATTTATATTTTTAGAAAACTGTATGAGTAAAAATAAGAAAAAGTTTACATCCCCGCTGTCAGCATAACTCAGGTGTGTTCAGAGCAACCTCCTTAGTGAAAATACACAAGCAGGACTGGCAACTTCCTCAAAGACAGAAAATGGCAGAGGAAGACCCACAGAGGGGATCTCTGTAAACCCCAAATAACAGCTGACAAACAAACAGCTTACCTGAGAGGGCAGAACCTCAGCCCAGGGAACAAGACACCTACTGTGCAGCACAATGCCGGGCACCTGCTGGGGTGCATGAAGATACCTGGACCCCCTGCAAATGTGGCTAGAACAAGGTGCCCACAAAGCCTGGTATTCCTGTCCCCAGTCTCAGGGTCACTGCCCTTTTCAAAACTAATGGAAATAAGGCAAAAACCAGTGTTCTTTAGAGTGGATACACCTAGAGCCAGAGCCAAGTCTCATCCCTCCACACCGAGGTATACCCACATAAAGAGAGGGTGCCCAGGCGCAAGGCCTTAAATAACAGTTATCAGGGAAGACGGCTTCCTTTCCCTTCTCCAATCCTTCTTATTACTTCCAGGCAAACTATCTGAGGTAGCATGAGGACAGCCTCCACACCTTTCTAATGCTTCTCACTGGTTTCTCTTTTTAACAACAGTCTCAATCAGCCCTGGCTGGTGTGGTTCGGTGGATTAAGCGCTGGCCTGCAAACTAAAGGGTCGCCAGTTTGATTCCCAGTCTAGGGCATGTGTCTGGGTTGCAGGCCAGAGGCCAGGAGAGGGCACACAAGAGGCAACAACACATTGATGTTTCTCTCCTTCCCTTCTCCTCTTTCTAAAAATAAATAAATAAATCTTTAAAAATGAAAAAACAACCAATAGTCTCAACCACAACCAAGAACAGGCAACAACACTGAGGTCACTTTGTAACACTGTTTCCTTTTCATTGTCTTTACTTTTATAGTTACCTACTATTTAAGTCAGCTTATTGTGGCTCTCCAGTCACAGTAATCATATAAACTTTCCTTTTTAAATAAAGACTTTCAAGTTTTTTAAGCATATGTTCAAAAAAAATTACAGGATAAGTTAAATAGTACCATGGGTTAAAAAAAAAAAAAATTTAACTGAAATTTGAAAACCAGCAACCTTAGTGTTCTCCTAGCCTGCGTGTCTCACACCCTGGATGATCTGTAAATATCTTCTCAGCTGAATTCCAGCTGAGCAGTGCCCTGAAAAACTACATACTTTCATTGTACACAGTGAGGCAGGTCATGCCCACCACACCAACCTTACAGTATCTACTCATTTCCTTCTTCGCCCTTGAATCAGAGAACACTGGTTTTCTCCCAAACACCACTCTTCCTTCCATAGCATTGAAAACCCTAATTTGGAGGTGGGGTACACACAGCCTCTTAGGCCACGGGACTGATGGATGTTGGCCATCCAGCTGGGAGTCACCATGCACCTTCTAGGAAGGGTCCCGACAGCTGGGAGGAAGGGTGTTCACCTTTTTTGTACCATGGACCCATCCTTACAGTCTGGTGAAGCACACAGGCCTCTTCTCAGGAAACATGTCTCAAGTTATAATGTATAAAATAAGACACACGATTACAAAGCAAACTAATTACATTGAAATGGGAATTATCAAAATATAAAAAACAAAACTGGCATAATACGGTATAGAATTCTTTATTATCATATTTAAAAATGAGCGTATTTTCCAGCAGAAATGACATTCTGAGATTTTTTCACGTCACAGTTGTTGCAGCTGCCTGTGATTTCTTTCAGTGACACAGTCACCCATTTTCTAACCATTTTCTATGGTTTGCTGCTACTTTCACAATTAAGAAAATGCTAAAGTTCTATCAGAGGCTACAGCGTTTTTTTCAGTTATGTAAGTTCGGCCCCTCGAATCCTGTCTATGGCCATGGAGGACACTCTCCCTTGGCCCCACTCCCTTCCTGCTACCTGGGATGAGAACAGGATGGCTGGAGCCGAAACCGCCATTTGGGCTCTAAAGCAAGACAGGATCCTGGACTCTGATGACCATGCGCCGCACACCAGCCCCAGCCTGCCTAACTCTGGATGGATATTTCTATCTCGTTAAGACACAGCTGGTACATTCTTTATTATATAAAGCCACTCGAACCTAATCTTAATTGCTGAATCTCTTAACACTTTTTCTGGGTAGTGAGTTAGAAACAGCTTGAACCTGATCACTAGCAACTTTCATTCATCTTTGAGAGGCACACACTTCCTTACTTATAAAAACAATTCCTCTGGAGCTACAAAGGAAACTCAACTAAAACAGTTCCCCTGTAGCTGACAGCCTTCCAGGAGGCAAACCGCAAAACCTTGAACAAGAGAAGATTCCCCTTTAACTCAGTGCGGCTCCACTCCTGAAGCGTATCCTTGACAGCGTGCATAAGCCCAAGCATCACACATAAACCACGGCTCACACTTCAAGTCCACGACCAGGGATAGACACATTCTGCAAAGTCCACAGTCATGGAGGAGCAAGCTCAAAGGCACTGCCGTGACATACAGGCCGGGAAGTCATCCCTGTATTGGTGGAGGCAACTCAGAAAGTACTTACTAATTGTCATCGACTCTGGCACTGAGGCAGAAGGTAACAGGCTGCTCAGAGGACTTCCTTGGCCTGGAGAACTGGCTTCCACACTGGGAAAAGGCAGGCAAAAGGAAGTTACACTCGGCCACTTAAATGGACAACCTCACCATTCAAAAAACTAACTGGTGCTAAGTTTATTTGGGTATGTTTACTAGAAGGAACAGATGGCAGCCCTTTGAAATCCTCATTATTTTCAATTCCTTTTTGACAAATTTACCTGCTCACTAAAATTTATTTGTAATCCCCAAATTAATATTCACGGTGCTTTCATGCTCAGTCTACACATGTACAGTCCCCAGGTGTACATGCTCCCAGGGGACACCAACCAGGTGAGCTCTGCCTTCTTTCAACTATCATATTATTAAGTGTGTCCTTTTGATGGGTTATTTAGTTCCACATTTTTCACATTTCTTGGTGATTTTGCTATTTAAAATGGCCCCCAACCATGATGCTAAAGTGCTGTCTGGTGCTCCCAAGCACAAAAAGGCTGGGAGAGCCATTGTGGGGAAAATACATGTTAGGTAACCTTTTGTTTAAGCATGAATTACACTGCTGTTGGTCAGGAGTTCAGTGTTAATAAATCAACAATGTATATTAAATAAGGTGTCATAAAACAAAGTTATGTATTGACTGGCTGACAAAAATGTTGTGACCAGAGGCTCACAGGAACATAGCCCTGCATTTCCTCTAGGAGCAGTAGTTCAGTTCTCACAGCACCTTATGAAACATAACCACCACAAATAATAAGAACTGACTGTATATTTACAAAGAATTTGCAACATGGAAAAATAACAACACATCTTTCATGAAAACAGCAGTCACATTATGGTTAAAACACACATGCACATTTACACACCTACCACTATGCAAAAAGGACTATGAAATAGAGTTGGGAGTTACAAGTGATTTTTTTTTTCACCTAATGCTGCATTTTTCATTTTTTCTAAGATAAACAGCAAAAAGGACTCAGTCCTGGATGGGCCCAGGGACACCAATCCTTCCTGACATTATGCTAATTGGTACAAGCCCCTACCGATAGTATCATTTTCAGAGAGCAGAGCCCCTCTACTGGGGGTGAGACCACAATACCAAGCATGGTGTGGGGCAATAGTGACTCCCAGCCAGGAGCAAAGTGTGTAAATGCAGGCATGATATCTCCCTGAAACACCAAATTAAATCATAAAGAGAAGAAAAACACAGTAACAGCAAGGATCATGCATAAGCAAAATTTCACACTGACACCAAGCAGCCAATGACTTTGGGCAACTCAAAAATCTTTTGGATACTTTAATTTGAAAAAAGAAAGCCAACATGGTACTTACTACTATATGCCAGACTAAGCACTTACAAATATATGATATATAAGCAACTTAAATATTATATAATATTAATTATCCAATATTATCATCAATTATTAAAATTAGCAAACAGTGACAGAGGAGGTACCCATATATGTCCCCAAAAGTGCACAAAGTAAAGGTGGTGTGCAAATGAAGTTTAACAAGTCCTACTTCTTATAGAGTCTCTCATGCTCTTTAACCCTTGACAGCTTCACACTCTGTAATGTTAAGACTAAACCTGGACACAAACGAGGCCTTGCCCTTCAATCCTAGCAGATGCCCTCCTATCTTTAAAAAAGAATAAAATGCTGAATAAAATTCAATCCCAAAGGCAATCTGTTTTCTGAATACTGACCTGTACCGAGGTCCAGGCTCTGGGAGCACGTGATCCTTGGGTCCTGTCCCGTTCTCCAAGCTTCCAAGGGGGGCATCTGTGAGCACAGAGAAGTCACAGAGAGGAAGTCAGCTTTCTGCTTTCATTTCATTTCCTCCACGAGACAAAGATACAGTGCAGACATGTAGCTCATCTACTAAACCAGTTGCCTTAGAAATCGGTACACTGGATTTTTCTCTGCTGCCGGATTCATTTTTTTTTTGGCCATTACCTCAGATTTTGCTTCAGTCACTGACAGAAAGCCCTAACCTTTTTTACTTTAGCCACCTGGAATTACCCATGAAGTCCACATTCAGAGCCAACCTCAGAATCAGGGAATACACATCAGCTGTTAGACGAACAGCTCCTGCCTGTAGTGGCTCAAGATGGACATGAGAGGGCAGCACAGCCTAATCACTGACAGTGTCTACTCAGGTCAACACAAAGGGAGAGCCAATTTCTAAAAAGCCATTTGCCTGCATTCGGTGACATGCGGGAAAGGCATCTGGAAGAAATGAAGCCACAAGCAATCTCTAGAAACAGTAGGCAAGGGGCACTAAAGAGTTTCATAAATGTACTAGCTGCGGTTAAGTCTTTTTCCAGGAAAAAGTACAAGTCACGTCCCGCAGACCAGACGGTGACATTAAAGCCAGTTTCACTCAGAACATTTGCTCACTGGAGAAACTTCTGGTTTGTCAATGCCCACTACAGAGCCAGGCCTGGATGAGAAAGGGGACAGGGATGGAAGGGAACACATCTGGTTCCCTAAGCCATCCCTCACGACCTCTTCTGTGTCATCCCTTCAGTTTACGTGAGCTTCATCCTGCTCAAGACTGCCCAGTTCTTCAGGGGTTGAACTAAGAGAACTCTAAAGGAAAAATGTTTTTCCACCTTTTTCACCCTGCTGACACCATCATGCTATTCCACTTACTCCTACGTCTTCCAAGAAGTTTGAAGGGGAAAGAGATAGTGTCTACTTGGCCACCTCCCCTTCCTTGCTCCCTGGTATTGTGGTTAGTCTAAGAATGAGGGCTCTTACCAGGGTTCAGGCCCTGCTCCCAACTTTAACTCAGCAAGTTACTTATACTCTTTGTGCCTCAGTTTCCTCACCTGTGAAATGGGGTGACACTCCCACCTACCATACAACATTTAAATAATGTCTACCACATAATAAAGTTCTGGTGCATGTAAAATTCAGTGAGACTACTCAATGAGTGAGTGCTAGCATCAACACATTCTATATCAAGTCTGCCTACCACAGGCTCTCATCTTCTCAGTCAACTGAATTGCTCTCAAAGAACCTCAGGGAATGTTCTCCTGGGTCCCTCTCCCACCTTCTTGCAGCCGATGACAAGGCTGAGCAAGCACTCCACTTCGGAGCGCTCCTTTCTCAGCCTTCATAACAATGATCTTTGGTCCTCCTCCCCCCACCATCTTTTTCTCTGATTCCTAAGCAAAGGTGTCCCTGAATCACAGCTCTGAGGTCTCTGTCTCCCCGGTAAATCCAGCAAAGTCTTAGTTGCAGACTTCACCTCTGAAGAAGAGAAGACTTCACCTTCTCTGGCTTGGAGCTGAGCCTTGAATCCCAGTCCCATGTTTCTAACTGCCTACCAGAGATCTCTACTGGGATGTCCTAAAGGGCTTACCAACTGGTCAGGGCCCTCAAAGCCACTCCTGTCACCACTTCCCACTGGGCTGTAACCTCAGAGAAGGGTGGCGCTCACCCTCCCTCCCATCACAGAGCTACATGGTGGCCCAAGACCTGCCAGTTCTACCTAGGACTGCCCTCCCACTCCTTGCTTACAAGCCGTTCTCATCCTAGTTCAAAGGCTTGACACCTTCGAGGGGTCTCTTGCAGCAGGTCACCTCAGTTGTCTCACCCTCTCTAATCTGGCTCACACAAAGCTGTCAGACTCTGCTCCATGGAGAGAAGATGAGAGGACTCCAACATATACATGGAATCCCCTAGCAGGAGGAAAGGCCAACCTCACCCACCAGCATCCCAGATATAACACCAACTTGGCCCAAGTGGATTTTCCTTCATAACACATGACCGCGATCAGCTACAGGTGTCAGTGGGCCTGAGGCACTGGAGCCACAGGGCAGTCAGAGGCACAGACTGTCTCACTCATCTGCAAGGTCTCTTCTGGGGCAGGTACTACTATTATCTTAATTTTATAAATGAGGAAACAGACCTCAAGGATTTTAGTTACTTGGCTAGGATCACATAGCTAAAGTGCAAGGATCTGAACCCAGGTCTGCCCAGTGGCAGAGCTGGGCCCTGGCCCGCTTCAGTCTCTCTCATTCAGCCAATCTGAAATATTTGCTTTTCCCTCTACAGGTCCCTGGCTTTCCTGCTGCTATTCCTTTGTCCACAACTGTATCCCCAACCAGATACCATTTTCCAACTGCCAGATGTCCACTCCCTAGAGCATGCCCGCACCCCCACCTACTGCACCCACACTTCACTGCTCAGTAAAGGCGTTCTGAACCCCAGCTGTGGGCCTGGCTCTGGCCAGAGTCAGGGTCACACATGAATCTTGACAGACATGGTCCCTATGCTAATGGATCTCAAAAACTAGTGGGGAATGGGGCGCAGGTATTTCCAAGTAATCACACAAATCCACCATCACAAACATAATCACAAAAATAGACAACAACGCAGACACACCAGATTTACAACAGCAGAAAACAGGAGGCCTGGCCTCCCTGGGCACTGGGGCAGAGGAGCCTTCCCTAAGACAGCAACACCCGGGCTGTGACCTGAAGGACGGGGTTAGGCAGGGTGAGCAAGGCAAGAGGAGCATGAGGACTGAAATGATGGCAGGCCTGGGGCAAGGACATGGAAACAGAGCCATGCGGCTGGGACACTGGGCAAAAGGGAAATGGGAGGAGATGCGGCTGCTCGGTGAGCTGGGGCCTGGGTGGTCACACTGAGGATTCTGGATTTTACCCCTAAGTGTGGCGGAAGGGTTTCGAGCAAGGGAATATGGCAATCTGATTTATGTTCTAAAAAATCACTCTGGCTGCTATGGGGTGGGGGCCAGGAATAGAAATGGGGAAAGCTGTTGGGAAGCTCCTTCGCTATAGCCCAGGCAAGAGATAAGGTTGAGTTAGAACAGGGTGGTGAAAGCATTCTAGGTACACACTTCGCCATTTCATTCCTTTCTCCTTTACATCAGATGATTAAAATGATGTTCCCTGTCTCCTCCTTGTTGCAAAACTGCAGAAGGGACTCATCTTTGGATCCCCAGAGCAAAGAACAGTGCTGTGGCAGAGCAGGATCACCTAATAAATGAGCAAAGAAAACAGGAGTCCTAAGTAGCACATGACCTACGTAAGTGGGGTAGAAACCACACAATGCAGGCCCTGTGGCCACTAGTTTCCTGGCCTTCCAAACAGTAAAATTAGTATCTGGGAGCAAAGCTCTCAAATCAACCATCTCAGGTCAAAACAATGCTACATGAGACTCTCCTCACCCTTGAAGAGTGACTCCTGAGACTCAATGACAGGACCAGAAGCTGAAGAACATACAACCTGATGGGAGAGGAGGGGTGAGGACCTGAGGTTTTCAATGAACTGCATCCATCAGAAATTGCCTCTGCATGTGCTAAACCCACCAGTAAAAGCAGACCCCGCAGTGAGGGCCAGAGCAGTACAGGTTTCATGTGTGTAGTGAGTAGTCACAGGTACTTTGTTTGCCCCATTTGTCATTCTCAGGTGAAAAGAACTTTGGGGCTCTTTCCCTTCCAGCCTCAAAGAAACACTGGTAGGCAAAGGTGCTTTGCTGTTGCAGGTAATACACATGCCCTAGGAATGGCAGTGTATCCAATCCTTCATCTGCTTCTCAGGGACTCATGTGACCCTGGCCTGGCATATCCCTTAGTTGAGCCCCTTCCTAACCTGAGAAATTCACGTCTTCCAACATTCAGAAGTATAATAATTCTGTGTTCAGGGCCCCTTTCTCTGCTGCTTTCTCCTTCCCTAGACTTGGCTACCAAAACACCCATCCTTCCCCGTCATGTCCCTCTCCCCGTTTTTTATTCTCCTCCTTCCTTCCCTCTTTCTCTAAATATCCCAAAGGCAGTGACAACAAAGGCACTAACATTTTCAAAGGTGATGGGAAATTATCCAAAGGTAGGAGCCTTCTGTGTGCAAAGTCACCACTAACTACACGAAATGGCTCCAAGGCCTCGCTAACAGAAAAGAGGTTAACACACTCAATTAGAGGGTGTCAATCAGAAGGAACACTAGTCGGAAATAGAGGGAAATAAAAGGAGTCTGAGAAAGAAATCTTGGCTGTGCCCAGTGCTGCCCATGGGGGGTCCCCCTACATGCAGGCCAGTCCTAGAACCCCCTGGGCCACATGCCTGCCATGGAAATGAGGCATCAGGCCAGGAGGGACTCAATGCAGTTTGGCATTCCAATCAGGTAACAGACTCCCCCAGCTCTGATTCTAGTGTCTTCATGAGGCCTTGGTATAATCTTTCTCCCATTGCCATGTTCCTACTAACATTTGCCCCTCGGGTTATCACAAGGCTCCTGACAGCTTTGTTACCGTAGTAAAATAAAAAGTTGGCAGACTGGCTCCTACCAGCATCTCTGGTGACGGTAATCAGATACGCTGGAACTTAGGTCCCATCAGTAGTGACAGAATGGAGCCTCTGGGTCTGCAAGGACAACAGCCAGAGGTGGGACTGTGGGAAATCTGGCAGGGGGGTGTCTTCTCTTGAGGATCCTCAGATATCCTGGAAGCTGGCCAGAAACTACTTCCAGTAGAGACACTGATCCACAGAAAGCCCAGAGGGAGGAGGAATGATAGGTTCTATAAGACTAAACCCAATTTGAATGGCAAACAGCATTTTAAGCAGCCAGCCATCCACCCGCAGCATCTGATGGTTAGAGAAGCCCAGTTAAGAAATGAAAAAGCCACTGGAAACAAAACAGACTGGCTGGTACATGCACCTAAGAGCCCAGTAATACTTTACAACCCAACTGAAAGGTCCCTCCTCTGGGGAGCAGGACAAGGTAAATGGGAACCTGGATCATAACCTGAAAGGCATGAACAAACCCTAGAAACTCTCTTAGGTTTGCATAGGACCACCTGCTCTCTGCAAACCCCAACTCCCGTCTCAGACATTCTGCCCATGTCTGCACTGCCACTGAAAGGGCGGTAGGCAAGGCAACCCTTGGACTCCTGGGCCCAGGGCAGTCACCTGAGTGAAAGGAGGTAACAGTGCAGCCTGGCCTGCAGACAGGAGCAAGGCCTCCCAGACTGCCCACCTCTCAGAGATTTCAACTGAGACCCAGAGAGAAGTCCTGGTTGGGATGGAAGGTCACGAGGTGGAGGCAACGGTGTTGGCACCTCAGCTAAGTATAGGCCAAAAAGGGAGGGGGTGAAAATGACAAGGGAACAAAGATCAGCAGACAGGAGATAGGGGCAGATCCCCATACGGAAGTGTGGGGCACAGAATGAGAAAGACGGCAGGACCTCACCAGGTCAAGAGTCCTCTCCGTTCCAGGTTCAGCTCTCAGGCCCACAGCTGCCAACCAGATGCCATGGCACATCACTGCTGCAATGTTAGCAGTACATTGAACCTGGCACCCTTTCCCACATGAGCTTGGGAATCTTCACCACAAATGTGAGAGGAAGGTGATAACAGAATGACTACCCCTTCTTCCTAGGCTGTGGTCAAGAGTGAATGAATGAGTTTATCCAGTCGATCACCTTACAGCAGGGTTCCCCAGCCTCAGGCTGCGGACCTGATCGCTACCAGTCCGAGCCTGTTAGGAACTGGGCTGCACAGCAGGAGGCGAGCTTGAATGCAATGTGCCTGAATCATCCGGAAACCATCCCTGCTCCTCTACCCCCATCTGTAGAAAAACTGTCCTCCACAAAATTGGTCCTGGTGCCAAAAAGGTTGTGGACCCCTGCCTTATAGTCCTGGACTCACTTCAAGGGCTTGATTAAGTATTGGCCACGTTATCACCATTGTCCACTTTCCAAAAGAGGAGACTAGCCTGGCAGACATGAGTCACTTAGCCACGCATGCGCATTAACCTCCATGTAAACCAGGAATATGCTGCTCAGAGCAGTAACCTACTCCAGTTCCCACAACTTCCTAGAGCTGAGACTGATCTGACCCACACTCTAAATTGCTGCCAGTCAACGGCCCTGCCCACCTCTTCACATGAGCTAGTTTGAGTGGGTTTCTGCTCCTTGCGCAGTGACAAGTACAACAGTCTATCATCTGGTTCATAATGTCAACAGCTTCCTTGAGCAGTTGGCAGGCCCCTGTCACAGTTTCTTAAACCTGGCCCTGGGAAGACAGGAAGGATACTTAGCAGGTGGGGGTTGGAGGGGCTGAGGCCTCAATGACTTGGTGGTGCTGTGGGGAAGTGCCAGGCACTGAGTCAGTGTGGCACTTTTCATGCCACTTTTCTGGGCAACCTGGGTTCATGCACGTCCCCCACCACCACTCCCCATGGCCTGCCCTAGCTAAGGAAGACAATAATAAGCCGCAGAAAAGCGAGCTCAACAGCATGGAACAGGTCAGAACTGCTTATCCTCCCCACAGGTGGGTTTTAAGCAAGCTACTCCCTGACCACCAAGCATTTTGCTACAAATGGTGCCAGGGCCTTTATAGCTATGGGTTCTGTGATCTCCCTTCTCCTACAAGGCAAAAATAATGGACATCATTTGTGGTCCGCTTGTACATGACTAAGTTCGACAAATCACTGCCAAGAAAAGAAACAGACTTGAGGGCTCCCTGGTGACGTGCCAGCTCATTCTGCCCATCAGTCACTCAGGTGAGAGTACCTCAAAATACCCAGGTTCAGCAAGAAATGAAGCCAAACCCTCTGTCATTCTGAATCTCAACAGGCCCTTCTGCTATGAGCCCCACGGCCTCCTTGTTCCCACTCCCACCAGAGAGGTGACCCAGACACCCCTGCAGTTCTCAGAGCCAAAGCTCATACTGGAGGAAAAGAGCAGTCAGGAAACACCCACCTGCAGGGCTGAAGGAGCCCACTCCACTGACCGGAAAGAGGATGTCGGTGTCGCCATGCAGCACCTGCAGCGGAGCCCAGCTGTGCATCTGGGAGAGGCAGGTGTTCCCATCCAGTGGCCTGTGGTGAAAGAATACAGCTGTGTAAAAAGGCAAAGGGCCCCTGAGGGCTCAGTCACCGCAAGCAATCACTGGGCCTCCCACAAGTTCCTTCTTAGAAGCTAAACAGGCCATGAAGGGGCTGAGCATAGCAGGAGATGCAGGCTGGGAGGGAGGAGGATAGAGTCCGGAGCCAGACCCCTTGCATTTGTTCTTTCAGCCTCTGTTTACTGACTACCTACTATATGCCAGGCAGTGTGCAGCACATATATTTTGTGCTGGCCAAAGAGCCAGCACACAAGGTTTATCCTACCCTCATGGAGCTATAGTCTCTTGGGGAACACGGATGTGAATAAAATAATCCCCCTAGAAAGCATAAAATGCCAGCTCAGCTTTGTGCAGCTGGTCAGGAAGGCCATGGAAGGCTTCCTGGAAGAGGGGACGTTTGAGGTGAGAGCTGAAGGAAGCATAGGAGTTACCTGAGTGAATAGGAGGGACAGGAGGGACAGAGGGGGTAGGCACAGCATGTGCACAAGTGCTGAAGGAAAAAACATGGTGTGTTCCTGGTTCTGAAATGATGGTAGCCACATGACCTTGGGCTGGCATCACTTGGCCTGACTGGTTGGTTCTCAAACCCTCTCAGGTAAAAGAACAGAATCAGACCAGATCACACACGTCTGGTTCCTTTCCAAGAAAGAGGGTCAGATCAAATATTAACCAGGCTCACATGACCTGTTACATTGTCACTGTACCCACTAAGCACAAAACTAACCTGTACAATCTTTGTAATACCAGGCTGATTTAATTTAATTTGTCTGATGAAGTATTTGCCCCTGGCAGCATTTGCCTCTGGGCAATTAAGAAATGCTAATAAATACCAGGATGTATTTGTGTAGTACTTTAAAGACTACAAAATCACTTTGTAATTCAGTTGCAAAGACGACCAAATCAAATCATAATCATACCTACTTAACAGAGGAAGGGAAGGAGGAGGAGAAGGGAAAAGGGAGGACAAAGAAAAGGGAGGAAAGGGAAGAAAGAAGGGAAGGGAAGAAAGTGAGAAGGAAAAACTCAGAGATTCTGGGGCTTGCCCAAGGTCATCGGCCTTAAGGGCAGACCAAGGCTTGTGGAGGATTCAAGCACAGGTCTTCCAAATCCATTACAATGGGTCTCCTGACTACTGCCTACTGTGACATGATATATAGAGTTTTTCTTTCTTTATTTCGAGCAGGGATCACCCAAATTTTCTGTAAAAAAAAAAAAAAACAGTTTGCAAATATTTTAGGCTTTGTGGCCACACTTATTCTTTTTTGGGTTTTTTGTTTGTTTTTTAACAACCAACCATTCCTAGCTGGAGGAGGGGTTTGGCCCGGAGGCATAGTTGGCCACCTCCTTTTTCACAGACCTTCATGGAGACCTTCTGCTCTCAGCCCTCTCCAGCTTTAGGTCATACATTTGTTACAGAACGAAAGTCCACAGAATTTTGCAAAATGTTTCATTTAACCCTGCAGCTAACACACACAATGGGACTCTCAGATGGCACTCGAGGGTACAAAAGAGGAAGCCCAGTTCTTAGATGAACCCGGCTGTGCCCTAGAATCTGTACAGACCCACCCTCCCAGGGCTCCAATCCAGCAGCTGGTGACCCAGGGGCCATCAGGGCACCCTCAGGAGAAGGCAGCACAACCACCAGTCCTTTCCCCACCACTGCACTCACTCCCGGGGGTGGGGCTTTCTGCTGTTTCTGAAGGGAATCCCTGCCCCCTCCCAGCAACATATGCAGGGTGCAAGACGAAGCCAGGCCCAGCAGCTGAGGTTTGGAGGCCAAGTAAGAGGGGCCAAGGGCCACTACCTCAAAAATAAGCTACACTGAAGTCATTCCTGAGGCAGAGAACAATTCAGAGTATGGTGCCAACATTAGCTTAAAAACATAATAGCACGAGTTACTTTTCATTAGAAAGTGAAACACGTTAAAAAGAGAAGGGAAAAAATATATACCCAAAGCCACATAACTCAAAACACAACAGATTTAGACACTATTTCCTTAATGTCTTTTTTCTTTCTTTCTCACACATACTTTACGAGGTCATAATGAAACTAAATGTAGAATTTTATATTTGGCTTTTTTCATTCAATATTAATTCACAAGTTCATTTTCATACTACTTGGATACTCTTAAAATTCATTTAAGAGGTTTAAGATCTTAAAATTGAGATGTTAAGGTTTAAACAATGGAATAATCTGTTAACTGTTCCTCTGGGTTTCACATTTAGGGCAGCTCCAATGTTTTGCTTCTCTAGGTAAGGCTTAGCTTTGGTATCTAGAAGCGGCAACCTTTTTCCTGGGACTGCCCTCAGGGTGGGTCCTTGGCAGTGGAATTGTTCCATCAAGTACGATAAACATCTTTAAGGATGTCGACATTGTGTCAAACTGTCTTCCCAGAGGTCTGTCAACACTACCAGCTATCTATGAGGATGCCCCTGTGCCCAGCCCTGCCACATCTTTCATTCCACAGTTAATGCCTCCTGTGTGCCTGGAAGACAGCTTGCCTGAGGACACACTGAGGGCAAGCCACTCCCAGGGCACTAACCCAGGGTTCGCCTTTTTTCCAGTTCTCACTTTCAATCCCAGGAAATATGACAGGGCTATTATGGTATCTGGTTTCACTTTGTATGTGCTTAGTTGCTAGTGAGGTGCAATATTTTTCCATATGTTTGTAATTCTTTCTGAATTATACCTCACTTCCCTACTGGTGTCACAGGACACATATGAAGTGATAGGAAAACTCCTTTCTATAATAAAGGTATTACCCTCATTTAAAAAATAGACAAAAAGCAAAGCCAACACTTGTAAATATTGAGGTAGGAGGGACAAAATTTTCCTCAGTCATCAAAGAAGTGGTTTAACTGCTAGCAAACAGAGGCATAAAACCCAACTTCTGGCCAACAAAGCATCTTAAACACAATCCGAGACTTTGCCAGAGGCTGTGGCAGTCCACAGTGTGCTTCTCCTGACAGACCTAGCTGTGCTGTTCAACTGCTAAAGTTCCGGCCCCTCCAGGCTTCTAGACCTTTCATGGGAACATTATCTTAGAATCAAAATGAAAGTATTACTCAACAGGCCACTTCATCATTCCTCTGCTCTTTCCCCAAGATGCTCTGCAGAATGTTCGCTCAAGACCCCTCTTTATGCCAGGAGAGGCTGTCCATAGTCTGCAGGAGGCTCAATGGCCTCAAAGGGCCAAGGCTCTACAAAGGTCACCCTGCACTGTTTTGTGTTTTACACATCACAATGCTGGTCGCTACCTTGGCTTACAAGGTGACCTCCCCTCCATACTCCCATCAATGGCACCAGTGCATCAGGAAAAGAAATGCCTGTGTTTGAGGCCAATAAGAACCCATGAAGTGAATCAATTTAGAGATGCACTCACCTACAGAGACATGGAATGCAAGTGGCATTTCCTAAAAGGCCCTGATTAAGACTAAAGGCAAATGTAACAGCTAATTTTAATTGTCTACTTAGCTATGCCACAGACATATGATCAAATATTATTCTAGATGTTCCTGGAAAGGTATTTTTCAGATGAGATTAGCATTTAAATCAGTAAACTTTGAGCAAAGCAGAATACCCTCCATAATTTCGGTGGGCCTCATCCAATCAGTTAAAGGCCTTAATAGAAAAAGACTGAGGTTCCCCAAAGACAAAGAAATACTGCTAGCAGACTGCCTTTGGACTCGAACTTCAGTTCTTCCTTGGGTCTCCAGCCTGCCAGCCAGTGCTGCAGATTCTGGACCTGACAAACTTCCATGATCACATGAGCCAATTCCTCAAAATAAATCTCTTTAGATAAATACACACCGAGACACACACTCTAATGGTGCTGTTTCTCTGGAGAACCTTGACTCTTACAGCCTATCACAAGACCTGGGTCCCAGGAAGAAAAACATTGACAGCCTGTCAGCAAAACAAGCTACAGCAAAGCAACTCTAACAAGTATTTCAGGAGGAGAAAAAAGCCTTGTGTATGAAAATGTTTATTTCAGAATGCGACAACAAAGATGCCAACAACCTAAATACTAAACAATGAGAAAACCTTTCGCAAATCATGATACATTGATCTGACTGTAAATTAACCAATCAATATTCAGAGTTATGTAGAAACATGGAAAATATTTGACAGTTCAAGGGTGAGCAAAAGTAGATTTATAGGTGTATGGAAAATTACACATACAATAATTAATAAAAAAAATTAATTATTGCTTGGCTTAGGGCTAAGACATACGGTGTCCCTTAAATCATAAAATAGGATCTCGATAAATCTTTGTTTCACTCTCATGGGCCTGAGATAGGATAGTGAGAAGCTAGGAAAATTGCTTGGCAAGTGGGATAGGAAAACTGAAACAGCTGAACACAATGGCCAAGGAATTTACAGCCAGGTACAGATGGTCCCTAGGGCAGAAGGCCCCAAATGCCTGGCAGGGGGCAAAGCTAGGAACACAAGGACCTCACCCTCAGGGTAACCTTTCCTCCCTGGCCTTTCCTCCCTGGAGATGACATTTAGGCCTCAGCTGTCTCCAGCTCCAGGCCCAGTAAAGCAGCAAAACCAGAACCAACTACAATGACCAAAGACCACCTGTACCGTCACTGACCAATCAGGGAAGACCATGACCCTGAAAGGGCACAGCTAGAGAACCGATAATTGTTCAGCTGAAACCCTCCCCTAAGACCTCTCCTAAGATTCCCACCTGCAAGAGAGAGAGAAAAGCCTTAAGACAAAGGATCCTGCCCTTCCTTTCTTCCCCACTCCGCCCCCATCCCACTTCTTTCTTCACAGGCACATGTTTCCTAAATTCTGAAGAAATAAGCAGCTGGCAGTTTGTCCTGGGCTGATCCCCTGAGCCTGTTTCCAAAGCCCCCTTTTCTCTGACTTCCCAGTGAGCTAAGGCAGCCCAGCCAGGGCTCTCCTGTTTCTTCTTCTGTGCTAAGCCTTCCCTTGTATTTTAGTCCCCAGCTTTAATAAATGTATCCTCATAGTCACCTAGATTGGTGTTGTGAAACCTTTCCTACACAAAGTCAAAAACCCACACACTACAGCTGGCCCTAGGCAGACCCACTCAGGGCCAGGCCCCGTCCAGGAACAAGCTAGTGTTGAAGGCAGCCGTGCTTAGAATTGCACTGTGCACTGTAACGCCTAAGTGAAGAGGTAACTGATTTATCTGGCACAAAACTAAGCTTCGGAATTATTACAAGACTAGTGTGACAGCAGCAGCTGACGTGTGTTGCCTTTCTCCATGTGTCAGCACCCATGCAGATGGGCTCACACATAGTATCCCATTACTTCCATGAGGCCCAAGACTCTGGGAGATAAAGTAACTTGTCCAACCTCATCCAATCTAAGCCATGGAGCTAGTAAATGAGGGCCCAGGCTGCCTGGATTCCAAAATCCAAGCTCTTAATTATACGTTTTTGCTTTATGCCTTCACATGCATCAAGCCCCTTCTGCAGGCATAAATCCACAGGAACTCCAGTGTTCAAGCAGCAAGTGTGGGCAAATCACTGCTATTTGCATCCCTGCAGATAAACACAGAAATCACCAGCCCATGACTACTCTGGAGAATAACCCTGCCTTTCTCCTGTGCTTCCTATGCTAAGTGGCAAGTTAAAAATGGGAGAAAAACCTATAAAACAAAAATGAAAGATGTATATATAAAAGAAAAATTTCAAGGCACATACTTTGACACTAATTTTGTAGTAAGTACCTTCAAATATACTCCCTTACCCAAACTGTTCTCAGCAAGCTAATAATGCTCCTTCCTCCTAAATCAAGACCTGATAAATGAAAGATGCCCTAAGCAAATATAAAAGCTGCACCCTTATTTCACCCAATACTGCAGAAAGAGAAAGCAGTTAATGTACCACCCTTCATTAAACTCTCAAGTGGCACTTACTTCTCAGGTGACTCTGAGTGGCTCATGCGCTTCCTTCCAGACACATACACCTCATCCTCGTTCTCATCCACATCTTCATCATCAATGCTTTTTACATCGAGCTTCTGGTACCCAAACTCCCCATTCAAAGATAGTGAATCAATTTTCCATGAGCTGCTGCTCTGACTTCCATTGGAATTAGGCCCAAAGGGGCTTTCAAAGGCCGACATGATATTGACTGAGGAGCGGTCAGAGTTCTCCTCTGAGCTCTCCCCAGTCCCGGGTATCTTTTTAAAACCATCACCAGAGTTCTGCTCATCTTCCTCATCATCAAATGAGATAATGTTGGTCACCTTCTTTTTCTTCTTCCGTTCCTTTTTACATTTGGCATCTGACAGAAGACAAGATATGGTATAAGAAAAAGTAAGCAAGATAAAGGGAAGATCAAGCCAGCTTGAGTCTGGATTGTAAAAAATCCTCTACTACTCTACTGACATATAAATTGTAAGCTAAGTTCAGATATTTTTTTAAATCTTGGAAAAACATTTGTTTACAGGAAACTAAGCAAAATAGATGTGGGCCTCTACTTCTGATATAAACAATTTTTAAATTGTCTCCTCAAGCAAAGGAAACAGAAGAAAAAAATAAACAAATGCAGACTACATTAAAACTAAAAAGTTTTTGCACAGTGAAGGAAACGATCAACAAAATGAGAAGACAACCTACTGAATGGAAGAAGAAATCCACCAACAATATATCTGATGAGGGATTAATCTCCAAAATATATAAGGAACTCATATAACTTACCACCAAAAACCAAACAGTCAAATTAAAAATTGAACACAGGGCCTGAATAGACATTTCTCCAAAGAAGACATACCGGTGGCCAATAAACATATGAAAAGATGTTCAACATCACTACCATCAGGGAAATGCAAATTAAAATCACCTCACACCTATCAGGATGGCTATCATCAACAAAAAAACAAACAACAAGGGTTGGCAAGGATGTGGAGAAAAGGGAACCCTAGTGCACTGTTGGTGGGATTGTAAACTGGTGCAGCGACTGTGGAAACAGTATGGAGTTACCTCAAAAACTTAAAAATATAACTACTATATGACCCAGCAATTCCATTTCTGGGTATTTATTTGAAAAAATCCAAAATACAAATTCAAAAAGATATATGCACCCCTATGTTCACTGCAGCATTATTTACAACAAACAAGATATGGAAGCAGCCTAAATGTCCATTGACAGACAAACAGATAAAAATGATGCAGTACATATATACAGTGGAATATTACTCGGCCATAAAAAAAAACAATGAAACCTGACCATTTGTGACAATATGCTAAATGAAATAAGTCAGACAGAGAAAGACAAATACCATATGGTTTCACTTATATGTGGAATCTAAAAAACAAAACAAAAAAAACTAACAAATAAAAAAGAAACAGACTCATAGATATTGAAAACAAATTGTCAGTTGTCAGAAAGGAGAAAGGTGAGGGAATGGTTGAAAATGGTGAAAGGGATTAAGAAGTACAAATTGCCAGTTATAAAAATAGTCATGAGGATGTCAAATAATATTGTAATAACTATTTATGGTGTCAGATGGGTATTAGACACTGGGGGTGATCACTTCATAAGGTATATAAATGTTTAACCTCTATGTATACACCTAAAACTAATATAATATTGTCTGTCAACTGTAATTGAAAAATACATTTTAAAAAATATACCACAGACCGTATGTTAAAATTTCCCTATAAGCAGTCCTTCCAAGCACTTTCATTCAAAGAATGTTATCATTAATAAGATGATTTTCATTGTTTCACTTTGGAAAATACTCTCACGGCTGATAGATGAAACCAAGAAAATTAGTTTAGGGTTGTAGTTAATCGTTCGATGACCATAAATTCCTCCCATCCCTGCATATGCCCCTTTACAATGGGACTTTGCCCCTCCTTCCTTTGAGGGAAGTATCTATTTCTCCACCCTCTTGAGTCTGGACTGGCTTAGTGTTCTGCCTGTACCAATGGAATGTGACAGAAATAACAGTGTGAGTTCTAGAGCTTAGGCATCAAGAGGCCTTATACCCTCTTGAAATCCTGAAACCACCATGGAAGAAAACTGATTTAACTTTTTGGAGGATGAGAGGTCATGTGTAGAAAAACTGAAATGCCCCAGCCAATAGTCAGCACCAATTCCAGACACATCAGTGGGGCCATCTTGGATCTTCCACCTCAGTCACCAGCTCAATGCAGCCCCATGAGTGAGCCCAGGTAACACCAGCAGAAGATTCTGCCAAGCCACAGAATCATTAAAAAAATAAAATAAAATAAATCATGGTTATTTTAAGCCACAACATTTTTGGAACTGTTTGTTACACGGCAGAGTCAAATGGAAATAGGAATTAAGACTATCTTGGTGACCAGTACTTAGATGAGCCAGTTTGTGCACCCATCTTAATCTTTATCAAGCTTGGGTCTGAGGCACTTGCGATCCATTCCCGAAACTCCATTCCACCTAAACCTAGGGGTGACGTGCTTCACCAGTGTATTACAACCCTGAAACAATTTCAGAAGCGGGGTCCTGAAGATGACTGGAAAGGTATCTGATTCGGGTATACAAATTCCATTGTCTCTGTTACACAAAGCCCTCAACAGTCCTGTTTCCATGTTATTCACATGGGGTCTCTGCCTGAGGAGAGGGCAAACAGATAAAGCCAGTGTGCACCAAAGACACCATGAGATTCTGAGTTTTCACCATCATTAATAATCCCCAAGAGATGACCATGATTATTGTCTTGTTTAAGGGTTTTGAGAATACTAAGTACTAAACCAATAATTTCCAATTTTGTCCAGAAGGCTCAAGAAATGTTGTAAACTTGTCACAGAATTAATCTTAATTAATTAATCTCTTTCCCTGGCCTCCACTTAAATGTCTTCCCCCACCAAAAAAGGCAAGCCCAATAATATAGACTCTCCACAACACCCTATGCTTGGCTTCTATCCCAGTTATCAGAAGGATAATGAGTTATTTGTATAATTTGTCATTAAATGTCTACCCTCACCCTTCCCAAAGAAGACTGAAAACCAAATGCTGGTAATCTGTCTTACCTGGCTCACTGCCGAGCACGCAGAACACATTAAGTGAACAAATGAGTGAATGGACAAAGGAATAAATGAATGAAGATCAACCTCATCTGACTTCACCTGGCCATCACACCCTTCCTTTCAGTTTGCTCAGATGGGCCTTATCTCTTTTACCCTATCATCTTCCCATCTAGGTAAGGCTCTCAGCTCTCTTTTGGAGCAAGGATAAAAAAATCAAAACAAACATGAACTGAAAATGCCAATGCAAATGAGATTTCCTTCCCCTTGGCACTTTCAAGTGAGTAGGTGTGTCCACATCAGCCACAGTCTGCCCTTTACCCAACCCCCTCGAACTCCTGTTCTGGCTCACCGGCACTGACGTGCTTGGACATGACGGGCAGGGGGTCGGTCTCCTGCTCAGGCTTGATGAGGATAGAGACAGCAGAGGATGCCGTGATCTCCCTGAAAAGGCTGCTCACTCCTTGCGTAGACTCCTTCAGCAAGGAAGTCACATTCTGCGTTGACTCCTTTAAGAGGTCCGAGACGGTAGGAGCAAACTTACTCTGCCCATTTAAATCCTTGTTGTCAATGTTGATCGCGAAGAGTATGGAGTTCAGACCTTCCGCATAAAAGAAAAAGTCTGGAGCGTGTGCTGTTGAACAGAGTCACATCTCCAACATAATAAACAAGTTGCAAACACTATGGGTTACGGGAGGGTACGCAATGATCTTAAACACTGATTAAAACCTCCCACAGCTGTGGTCAGCAGACACCAGCAATCATAGGAGCTAAGTCATTCCAAATTCTCTCCCTATCTGTTAAGAGGGAAGTAAAGCCATAAATTCAGAGGTCAGACTGCCTAGACTGAATCCCAGCACTGCCACTTATAAGCTATGAGACCCTAGTCAAGCCATTTATTAACAACCTCTCTGAACTTTAGTTTTCTTATCTGTAAAATGCAGGCACAATATCTCTTTCAAAGGGTAACCATTAAAGACCATCACCCACCAGAAACACTCAGCTCACTAAGCAATCACAAAAGATACACCAGTGTCATCATTATTACCTATGGGAAAACTTGCACTGGTATCCTATGGCTGAAAGAGGAAATCATGGTCAAACCCTGACTCTTTCTCATCAATGAACTAGACTAATATAATTCTCAATATGAAGGACTTTGTGTAAACTAAGGAGGCAACTAAGGATTGGAAAGAAAGCAGCAAGTGGCCCACTTCTCTCAGGGTGTTTTCTCCATTTAAAGGAGCATCAAACGATAAAAAATTTAACAATTCACCAACATCATTCCAGGGCTTGCATGTTGGCAAATGGTATAGATGACTCTTCATCACATCTGATTCTCTCACAGCCCTAAAAAGGTGATTGCCGTGCCATCAGGATTCCCACCTCACAGAAGAGGAAAGTGAAGGTAACAAAGCTCATAGGATCAGTTCCACGTCACCAGCCAGTAAGGGGCCAAGCCAAGCTTCAAAGGCATGTCTCCTGCCTCCAGTTCCCCAGGTCTTTAAATTACACTTGCAAAGCCACAGCCAAAAACCCTCAGCCCCATACTTTTCCTGCCAAGGTATCAAATTCTAAATAAATGGACTCAATGCTCAATGCCATTCAAGGAAGGGCAATGGCAAGTGACTCATTAAGTCACCGAGGGACAGGGAAAATTACTGCATCCCTTGGAGTTATAAATTCACTCCCAAGCTGCCTCCTCTGCTCATCAAGCTTCACAGAACCCACCACCCCCGGCCTTGCCCAGGCTTACCAGCTGCCATGGTAGGAAGCATGCTAGACCTTTCTTCATCCATTACAAAAGACCAGTCTTCATAAAAAGTGCTGTGAATTGAAAGAGAAAGGGAAAAGGCTCTGAACAGTGGTTCTCTGAGTCCATTAGGCAGACAATTCCGTTATATGGCTTCCTGGAAAATCCATGCCTGGTCATCGCAGAGTGAGTACAGGAGGTCTCTGCTGAGTGAAGCTTCTGGTTATAAACTAAAGATTGATTGCATATATCCTATGACTTCCTCATTAGTCCCCAGAGATCTTTAGAGTCCCGTGAGCTTGAGAGTACTGAAATAGGCATGAGATGTAAATGTGGTATGTATGAAGCAGCAAAGCAGAAGGGGATGAACAGAGAGGTGACTTCCACTCAAGCAAGGTCTCCAAAAGACAGACAGGATATCCAAGCTGGCCCACAGGGCCCCCCTGACTGGGCTAACAAAAGAAGAGATTTCAGAAAGAAATTTGAGAGCTCCATGGCTCCATCAACGAAGATATTTGTATGTAATACCTGCTTGAGCTGCAAACCCAAAAGCCTGAGTTATCCTGGGAAGGGTGGGAAGCTATAAAAGCTCCACAAATCTACGTGGAGGGAAGGGGGCCAAAGAGGCCTACAGGATGTATCCAAGGTCAACCAGCATTAAATGGAGCTCAAAAGCGGGTGTCCAAGTCCAATTTCCCAGCTCTTAATTCAGTCCCCTGCTAAGCAGTAATAAGCAAATATCCTCAGCCCCACCAGGTCACAGAACTCAAAATTAGTGGAGTCAAAGTTAAATTTCACTAAAGCACAGTCAGTGGTGAGTGATCTGTAGTTCAGCAGGAGACTGGACACAGCTACTGAAGTGACTGAACACAACTAACAGAAAGAGAGGAGACACAGCGTTTTCAGGATGCCTACTCCACAGAGTATCAGGGGGACATTCCCTATGGGGACAAGCCCTAAGTCCACCCTGGCACTGCAACATAACCTCTGATTCCCAAAATTCTGATTCTTTAAAAATTTGCATCAGTTTTTCTGCATGTAAATGAATTAGGTTTTCCCACATCAAGGTAGGTAAATGACTAGTGATTTATGGAAATTTAACTGTGATTCTTAACAGCTGGATTCACTTCAACTGCTCATTGTTAAATTCAACTTTGATGTTGAGTGTGCAACTCTGACCTACTTGCAAATGATGTGGTGGGAAGAGCTTGACGAAAGTTCATTTTTAGGAACATGACTATGTTCTCCTTAACTAAAGCTGGTTAATGTTCGGCAGGTACATACAGACATTTGGCTCAGACCCTAGGCAGCACACAGTTGCAGGCAGCACCAGTTGTCCTGGCCCCCAAGCCTTCCACTTTGGACCCACTGAGTCTGAGCATACAACTGGACAAAGCGTCACAGGCAACATCCATGGGAGAACTTCAAGGGTATTTGAAGAGTCTAGCACACAATCTCAGAATGCGTAACAAAGTATCAGTAGAGAAGTGACCATAAGAGGCGGGAGAAACAGGAGGAGACTTGAGCCAGAGAACACAGGCAAGATATGATTTCATAGGAATGTATCACAGCACTAATGAAATACCAGCTTATTGAATTAAATGAAATTTCACTGTTGAGGATATGGGCACTGCTGATGTGGAAGTTATTCAAGGAACCAGGGCAGGATTGACCACTGTTCCTTTGTATCATCAGATGCCACAAAACTACACATCTGGTCCATTATTCTTGGAGGGAAAATAATAGCCAAAGTCAGAGAGAGAGACTGGGGGAGGGAGAGAAACGTCTTAAACATCATGAATACAGGAAAAATGGCAGGATTATCTATTTTTTTAAGAAAATGTGGCTGACTGTACTATCACTGATGCATATTCAGTGCCCTCTCCCCACCCTGCTAAGCTTGCCTGTGGTCATGTGACTTGCTGACCAGTGAAACTGAGTGGAGGTGAAGTGTCACTTTGGGCAGAAGCTTTAAGAGCCAGTGCTTAGTTCAACCACTATCTCCATAGAGATGAAGCTTCCATCGCCTGGGTCCCAACACGAGAATCCCTACACACCCATGATAGATATGAAGCAGAGAGAAGAAATAAACTTGTCTGTGTCAAGCTACTGTGGTTTTGAAGATGTTTGTTATAGCAACAAAACCTGGCCTATGCTACTTGATAAAGTGAACCTTATGATCAAGAAAAAAAGAAAACATAATAAAATGGGGAGGGGATCTTTGTTAATAACAAATTACTTCTCTCCCCAACTTAAAACTTAGGTATTCTTTCAGTCAGTTTGATATTCAATAACCTCAAAAAAAAAAAAAAATCAGGAAGAGTTGTAAAAGCAAAACATGAAACTGAGCACTAAACACCCAACATCTAAAGAGAAAGAAATTCTGAACCTGAAAAAAGTCCAAATTAAAATCCCATGAAATGAAGAGCAGGCTGTGTCCTATGACAATAGCTCTCTCCACATCTCCAGCCTTAATAATAGTAAGCATTTATTGAGTGCTTGCTATAGGCAGGTGCTATGCTAAGCCTTTTAAAGGCCTTCTCTCATTTAACAAACTGGGTCTGTGAGAAAGGAACCCAGTAGCCCCAGATGGGGAGGACTGGGATGCAAATTCAGGCATCTGACTCCAGGTTTTGTGATTTTAACTACTTGTCTGGCACCCTCTCCCAGGAACACAGTCACGTACCTGAGCCTGCTGCGGTCAGCCAGGAGCATGTGCAGGTAGCGCTCTAGCGAGTGTTCATTGAGGGCGCAGCGCAGCCAGGCCCGGCCGCGGCCCACATCCGAGGTGATGTGGCGCAGGGAATAGAAGCGCTGCAGCTCGTGCTTGCTGAGGACCTCCTTCACGTAGAACCAGAACACGGGCTCTGCAGAGACAGCGGAACAGGCGCTATAGCACTCAGCCTGGGGCATGTACCACTTTTAGAGTAACATTCCCTGGGCATCTTTGAGATTGTAAAAGAGTTACTTCCTTGGCACAGAAAAAGAAGATACCAAGGAGTTTACTCAAAATAAAAATGACCCCCAAATCCACCACCCAGAGATGGCCATTGTTAACATTTTCAAGTTATTTCCTTGCAGTCTTTTTTCCTGTACTTTTCTTTTCTATACAAAATCAACATCCATAATAAACCAGATTATAACCCCCAAAGGTAGTTAGGTCTCAATCCATAGAACCTGTGAATATTAGTTTATATGGAAAAAGGTACTTTGCAAATGTGATTCAACTAAGTATCTTGAGAAGGAGAGTTATTGATTATTCTATGTAGTCTTCGTGGGCCATGATCATCACAAGTACCTTTATAAGAGAGAAGCAGAGGGAGATGGGACATAGAAGAGAAGGCGATGTTGTTATCAGTGGAAAATGAGTTCTTGTGGTATCATGAGGAAAAGAATCTCCTCATACCCACACAGGAGGATGACGATCTGTGTTGTGATTTATTGATGATATAAAATTAAGGGGATTCCCCTCCTGAATTCCCAATGTCCCATCTCCATCCATCTCGTCATGAAAAAGTGCCAATCTTATCTTCAGCAAAGCCAAGACAAAAGCCAGTGTCCAGAGTTTCTGCTCCATAGTACAGTCCAGTCTAACCCAGCATTGGCTAGCTTAGCATGCCTGTCCAGCTGCGGTCCATTGCTGCGCTGTGGTATTCAGGCTCCCTCCTGGAGCCTGTATGGCCATGGGCCACCAGCTGCAAAGGCCACAGAACGATGGAGAGAAGACACATAAGTGCATAGGAAGAGCACAGCTCCCCCAGGTGAGAGAGGGAGAGAGATGGTTCTTTGTTTCCCTGGGGTTATAACCAGGAGCTTGGGTTTGGGATGGACCAGGTATCTTTTCAAAAGAATCAATCAACTTCCCAAGCTTTCATGGGCTTCGGGTGGGTTTATACCCCCTACCTAGTTAGACAGACAGGCCTCTTTGGTCAAGCACCACCCCCTTCACCCCCCAACCATCTGGTACTGAGGGGAGGCGAAGGGAGGAGTGTTACTCCGCTTGGTGGAGCAATGCTGTAATCTCCTGGAGTGTGAAGCTGTAGCTTCCTGGTGAAGCAAACAGGTTTATATTCCCCAGTTTATTAAGTTCAATATCTAGTTCCCTTTGCTACCCTTTTCTTTATTGAACGATTAGCTAAATACCAACGGTTAACAACATGACCAGGGAAGCAGAGGCTGAGATTCAGCCAGCCTTTGTGAGGGAATGGCAGAAACCACCAGAAGCTGAAAGAGGAAAGGAAAAGATTCTACCCTGGTTCCTCCAAAAGGAACCAGCCCTGCTGTCATCTTGACTTTAGCCTAGTGAAACCGACTTTGAATTCAGCCCTCCATAAGTGTAAGAAAATTAATTTGTGTTGTTTTCAGCCAACACAACACAAGTTTGTGGTCATTTGTTATAGCAAGTAATTTGTTACGAGAAACTAATACACCATAATAGTGTGTGTGTTATAGATGTGTATATATGTATTAATACACATATATACAAATATATACATACACACACATAATTTTGTACCTTGGTTTGTTTCATCCCTTCTATATCATGAATATTTCCTGTAACATTTAAAGATATTTGGAAACATCGCTTCCCTGTTAATTTAACTACTTCTCTACAGCTGAGAACATGATATATTACCACTTTTCTCTATATACTGCTTTGAATATCCTTGTACATAACTAATTGTCTGCATTTTTAATTCCTTAGAAGAGATTTCCATATGTCTGAGAATACAAACAGATTTAATGATTTAAGGGAAACCTAAGAAAGTTTGTTTTTATTCATAAAATAGTCATTGTACCTCCTCACATCTCCCCTTTTTTATCTACACCCACACAGGTTTTTTCTAGTTAATTCTAGTGTGTACCTAATTTTGTGATCAACAAAATCAGTGTTTAACATCAACACTTTTTCTTGCTGCCACTAACAGTAACAAGAGCAATAGCCAGTACTATTTATTAAGCATTACCACATGCAAGTTATTGCACCAAACACTTTATATCTGACCTCAGTCCCCTTAACCACTAAGGTCATATCCATGTCAAAGACAAGTTCCAAGGCCTAGACAAGTGAAGTAACTAACTCAGCAATACACAGTCAGTAAGTAATACAACACAACGGGAGCTGACGAATTGCAAACCACAAAATCATACTGCCTTGCAAAGCAAGGAGGGCATCTACATTCTTTAAAATGATCATGTTCACAAATACTTAATATCCTAAGGGAGAAAATGCTGAGTCTGCTGCCAGACAGGAATTCTAATCCAGGAGCCAAACAGGCACACAAGACCCCTCTGAGAATGTGAGAAGATCTTTGAACACTGCCTCCAGAAGCATGCACATGCCCACATCTCCATAAACTGAACACCAGGTTAATAAGCTCACTCTAATGTTTTGACTGCCTTCTAACTGGGAGCCATGAATGGGACAAGGCTATGGGCTACCAAGCAGAGACTAGAAGGATTCATCCATAACAAGTTTCCAGACCAGTGGGCAAGACAGCAGGTGACGAGGTTGTTCATTGGAATGACCTTGGGCAGGTCACTCAGCCATGCTAAGGTCTGGATTCCTCTCCCTTAACAAAAGCCCCAAAGTACAGAATCACCTGGGTTACTGGGGTAACTGGAGAAAAGGGAGGTAAAGTGCTGAGCATGATGCCCAGTCCGTGATGACTAACCATTGCTTACTTAGTAATTGCCTTCTTATACAAGAGCATTTGTATTGTTCCCTCTTTTCCTTTTTCTGTTAACAGCATCTAAATGTCTATATACAAATGCATGTGCATACATATTTGTGAATCATGCCAATCTCTGGGATCATTTACAATAAACGTCCCCAGAATGACTGAAAAAAACCATCAACAGTCCACTCAGAACAACCTTCTGTCCCGATGCCTAAATGCCAAACTAATCCTCTTCCCAAACCCAAACTGCACAAGTATGTTAACAGCCTTCTTTCCACTGGAAGCCTTTCTCAGAAGCCAGAACACGGGGAATGTGCTGAGAGCAATACTCTGAGTGGGTTGGCCAAGAAGCCTGTTTTGAAACGCACTAGACAACATCTGGATACCCATCATGATTCAAATCAAGTGACTTTCATCCGTAGGTCACATCTCTCTTTCTTGAAAACTGCAGTCACCTCTCTCTGACCTTGAGTGCACATAAACACTTTAAGGTGTGTTTTCAACTTTCAATTTTGCAATTTGCTTACCACTATAGAATCCTTCTAAAGCTTGCCAGAGCAATGCTGATGATGATAAGAATTATCCCAGCAGGGCTCCGCTTCCACTGCCAGAATTAATGTGATCTATTTAAAGTGCAGTTCACCTGCCACTTAATGCTTGCTGTGTCCATAATTTAATTTGGAAATAATATACCAATCTCTTACTGCTTTGAAACAAGGGGCTGATTCCAAAAGTGGGTGAGGGCTTCTGGCTTTCCCAACTTCTGAAAGCCATCTGCCAACCAGAACAAAATCCAGGAAGGGGGTTACTGAGGCAAGCAGCCTGGGGGCCCCTCATTAACAGAAGTTAACTAATAAATAACACAGAGCCTTTGGCAAAGCTTCTAACAGTTTCAACTTTAATTCATGCCAAGAATTCAAGCTTGGGAAACCAAAGAGGAACAAAATTTTAACTCAAATTCTAGTTCATTTTGTGTGACTTTGGGCAAATTATTTAGTTTATCATGTTCCTCATCTATAAAATGGGGTTTCCTATCAGGGGAAAAAATGATAAAATAAAGCATACATGTAAAGAGCTTAGTGCCAAGGCACCAAGGCAGGCAAACAATATCCCAGAAAAAAACCCTTTCTTCTGTTGTAAAAGCAGTACCCTTCTTTCCTAGGGGAACTCTGTTCCATTCAAAGTTGCCCCCAGCACAACCAACCCTCCCTTCCTTACCTGAGTGGGCAGGTAACGGAGGCTAGGCAAGCACCTGGCCACAGCAGACCATACACCTTGACTCATTTCACAAGCCCCACCCTCATCTTAGCTCTGCTGGATATTTTGTGCATGTGGATTTTACTGTATTAATCTTGATTTTTTTAATATTGCATGAAGATATTATTTATCTTGATTGCTGAGTTTTTGGTACTCCTGTTAGCGTAGGTAGCTAGTTAGTTAAGGGAGGGAACAAATAGAATTGAACATTAAGCCTAATTCACTAGGAAGCCACCTCATTCACAGGCTCCCCAGGGGACAGCAGCATCCTCTGCTAGGTGAACTTAAGTCCTGGGCGGGCAGGAAAAATCTCCCCAGGAGACACTCAGTAATGGGTTTATCAGCAGAAGGGTGGGAGAAATTCCTTTGATAGGCGCATGCACAGTAGAAACCAAGATGACAAAGCAGAACTTCGAGGCATGCACAGTAGGAGCCAAAACGGTGGCAAAAAGGGGTAGAGTCTAGCCTGGAAAGCCTGGGGGAAAACACTGGATTGGCTAGGGGAAATGACCCAGCAAAAGTCCATGAAGGATTGGAAAAGAGATTGGTTAGTTTGACAGAAAGCCTGCTCTCTCCCAAGCCTGAGGTAAATCTCATCAAAGCTCATCGAAGGCCTCTCGGTAGCAGCTGCACAGCTCCAAGCCCAGGCCCGGGCGCGGCAGCAGCAGCACAGTGCCTGTGGAGCACAGTTGGGAGCAGAGACTATGCTGGACTACCAGAGCCCTGGGCGATGACATTACAGTTCCGGATCCTGGCCTTCCTTGTGGGCACTTACGCTCACCCGGCAGGCCCAGGGCTTACTCCAGAGCTAAGCCATCTGGTCCTGGATGTGACAACACGCACCAGAGGACAGTCCTTTGTTTTTACTCCAATAAATCTTACCACTACACCTCACCCTCCTATGTGTGGGTCCCCAAAATGCTTTCCTC